GTTTTTCAAGGTACACTAATGATCACAAGCATTTAAAACAGTTTTTGAACATTGTAAGACACTTTAAAAATAGCAAAAACGGACATCGCAAAACCATTGGAATGCATTGAATAGGCTTCAATGCATTCCAATGGGGGAAACATTGTATCACTTAGCGATGTTTCCTATGGCGATTTTCGCTTAAGGATGGTAATCCGTTCCCATTGGAACGGATTAACCGGTTTTCAATGCATTGCTATGGGAAATGGTGTTTCCCATAGCGATGTTTTCCCATAGCGATTTTTTTTGAACCAATTAACATTGTTAAGCGAGGCACCACTGTAGTTGATTTATTCCTCAGGTAAAAAGTTGGAAACTTGTTATTTTATGAACATTATTTTAATAAGTCATTTGTTTTGTACAGGTTGTCTAAAGAAACTAGCAATTCTTAAAATTGATGAAAATCAGTTAATGTATTTGCCAGAGTCCATAGGCGGGTATGTATTTTTTTAAAAAATTCCTTCACTAATGAACAACAGTTCATGTTTTATGTTTCTTAATGATTTCTTGTTAAGTTACTTTTTTTTAACCTAGTAACCATCAAGACTGCTAGATAGGCCAGTAGTTTAGGCATCTGGCTGCAGAAGCAGAGGTTGGGAGTTCAATTCCCCATTGTGCCTTCTTGACGGGCTGGCCTCGATGATCCATATGGTCCCTTCCAGCTCTGCAATTTTAAGATCATTATTAAATCTCTTACTCTCTAAATATTGCATGTTTGTGGTTCATACATCAGTCATATCCACTGCCCTTTGATAGTTTCTGGGTGCAGATAGCTCAGATGGTGAATTTATTTAAAATGGGTTAGCATAAGTTGCTACAAAATTATCTTGGCATATAGATTTTTACCTTGCACGTGTGCAAGTGGCAAGATTCCTTTTGTATTTTCCATAATTGATATTTAAACTATTTGAGCAAAGAAAAGAAGACTGATATTTTAATTTATTCACTTTTGCTTAGGTTAACATCAGTTGAAGAACTGGACTGCAGCTTCAATGAGATTGAAGCTTTGCCTTCATCTATTGGGCAGCTCTGTAATATAAGGACTTTTGCTGCAGATCATAACTTCTTAACACAGTTGCCACCAGAGGTTTGCTATTTTTCTGTTTTTATTTCACATGACTGGAAACCAGTTTATGACATCTCATGATGCTGATTTAGTTGCCAGAAAAGAATCCTGAAGTGACAGCTCATAAGATATATCTAATAAATAAATAAATTCAGTTGGCATAAAAAACTAAGAATGCCTCTGAATACCAGTTGCATGAATCAGAAGATGCTTTTGTTTTCTTGTCATACTTTTGGGCATCTCATAGATATGTTTTATGGACAGACTGTAGAACTAGATAGGTCATTGGTCTGATCCAGTAGAGCAGTTATTATGTCCTTAAAAGCTTAGAGCAAGAATGTTTTCACTTCAGGATGAAGTGAAATACAAAGAACCTGCCTGTGAGACTGTAGAGAGGTCTCTGGATTACCAGCTGTTATCTCCCACACCAGCTGCATTATAGGTAGAGATGGGGGTATTTGTATACAAATACGAATATCCCCACACAGGTGGTGTTAACTAGGGTCCAGCCCCATGGAGCTGGATGGTCCACTCACTGATTCACCGTGGATGTGGATGGCATGATTCTACGAATGGATCCACAGCACGCAATCCGCTCGCCATTCTTTGACGTTGCAGCGAGGCGTGTCCCCCCGCATCCTGCCAGGAGTGGTGAGCAGATTGCGCACTGCGGAGCCATTGGTAGAATTGCACTGTCCATGGCGGGTTCGTGAGTGGATTGTCGGGACCCATGGGGCTGGGCCCTCATTAATACCACCTGTGTGGGGATATTTGTACACGAATACAAATACCCCCATCTCTAATTATAGGTAAAAGGCTCATTTTCTGCATTATTATGCTCACCTATTGTGTTCCCTTCATATTACATCCAAAATATTGTGAATCCTGTTGAGTAGGATTTACCTTTACCTTTGAATAGCTGCATGTAATGTCTTTCCATATTATTTAAAGAGTAACTAGATAAATCAATTTATGGCGAGAAATTAATACACTGAACTGCTGAACAATCATGCTTGCTTGCTTATCTATTTATTTATTTATTTATTTTAGATTGGAAACTGGAAACACGTAACTGTTCTGTTTTTACATTCTAATAAGTTGGAGTTCCTCCCGGAGGAAATGGGTGATATGCAGAAATTAAAGGTCATCAATCTAAGCGACAATAGGTTTGTGATTTGTATTTTATTTAATGAATTATGGGTTGTGATGGATAATGAAACTTTTTCATTGAGTGACTTTGGCCAGTTTAGCCCAAACTTCATCATAGGCCATTCTGAGCTCCTTAATGAGAATGTAGTAAATAATGACACCTAATAAAAATAAAATATTGTAGCAGAAATTTATTTTCTGTTGTAGAAGTTCTTAATTTAGTGGTTTCTTTAGTGAAGAGGGTTTATATACAAAGATTAAGTTGCTTTCATGGAGAGAAGATTGGAACCAAGAAAATAATTAAACCACAGAATAAAAGCAATTTTGGTGTGAGAGTTAGCCAAGAGAAGATTAATTATATAAAAAGTTGATGTTGATGACGTCTGGAGTTGTGCCAGCAGATGACAGCAGGTATGGGCTGAGGAGAGATTCCCTTGTCAACAAGAATGTTTCGTAAACCTAGTGTGAGTTCTCTATAGAATATGGTCATGTTTGTTTTGAAACACCTACAGCTATTTGCTGCTCTAGCATTGTTTGTATGGCTCATCTGCTATCTGATTAGAGAATGGTACTGACTGAACTGTGCAGGTTGAACTTTAGGTTGTTCTATGTGTCAGGTGGTTGCTTGTACTGCATGTATCTCTATCATATTTTCCAGTTCACATTCTAAGATGGGCCATGTAGATACTCTTGTGAAAAACCATTTATATATGTAAGATATAAAGGAACATACTGTATGATCCCAGAAGCTCAAAGTTATGTTGGTGGTCATTGTTTTGTCTCACTAAGAAGTCCAAACTAGAATTTGAAGCACTTCACAACTGACTTTGTGTACCAAAGTAGAGGTGGATTTGATTACCATAGTTCCATGGCTTTTGAAATTCAAGAAAGTTATCAAAAGCAGTTTTGTATAACATTATAGAGATCTACTTTTAAAAGGACAAGGGCAACAAACAGCATTGCTTTTTAGATGTCAGTCACAGTTACTCTGTGCGACTATTTGTTATTAAAGAACTTGCAACCCTATGTAGAGTTAACTGTAGCTGTGTTATTTTCTTCTTGGCAGTATTTATAAAAATGAAATGCATAAATATTATTTTTTATAAATATCACTTTGTTTATATATGTTTGTTCAAATAAGCTGTATTTCAAGAAACTACTTAAAAATGTACCCAATAATTCATCAGTTAAATTAAAAAAGAAGTCAAAAGTACTACTTCTTAACATTGCTGAGGATGTGGAAAAGTTTAGATTATAAGTGATTTTATTAGTATGAAATTATAATCTATTTGGTGTGCTCTCAACTAATATTTTGTCTTAATGTCTATTTTTGTTTTGTCTACCTGAATCACAGACTGAAGTATTTGCCCTATAGCTTTACAAAACTGCAACAGCTGACTGCCATGTGGCTATCAGATAATCAGGTAAGAATTTTCAAATATGATTATAAATGTCAAATGTCTTCAAATCAGAATATATTTGAAAAATAGCAATTACACTGAAAGCAGTGATATTTTAAAATCACTTGTATGTAGATGTGATCTTGCCATCTAAACTTGTTATTTTTCATAAACAAATCAAATTGATTAATATGTGTTTCTGGTGAACTAAAGAGTACATTAGTTGTGGTTGTTCTGGGTTTTTCGGGCTCTTTGGCCATGTTCTGAAGATTGTTCTTCCTAACGTTTCACCAGTCTCTGGCCGGCATCTTCAGAGGACAGCACTCTGTGATCTCAAGATGCCGGCCACAGAGACTGGTGAAATGTTAGGAAGAACAACCTTCAGAACACGGCCAAAGAGCCCGAAAATCCCACAACAACCATTAGATCCCGGCCGTGACAGCCTTCATGAATACATTAAAGAGTACATTGGTTGAAGCCAGAAACCCTGTTGGTTATTTCTGCCAGTGTAAGCATCGGTGGAGTAAATTTCAGCAGTGAATTGCCACTAGTTAACAAGTGTCCATTTGTATTTCTTGTTATACTCCACTTGCATGAGTTGGGACATGATGCAGAGAACAAGTAGTGACTAGATAGTAGTGGCAATTTGTTACTGTGGTTTACATCACTGCAATTTTAATAGTGTAAATAATCAATAGGATTCTGATCACAAAAATTATTTCCCATGGTGAAAATATTGTTATTAAAGTTCTGAAAAGGCCTGTGCATCTTCAATAGGTGGTAGTCAGAGTAACTACATACTGTTAAATATGTTGATATTATTTTTCAATCTTAGTAAAGTTGCATGTTTCTTCTGCATCATTAGACATTCCTGTATCTGAATAGACTGCATGGTAATTATGCTAGCTGTTGTCTGTCTGCAAACGCTAGGTCTGATTAGTTAAAGAATTTAATTTGCTGCCTTGTCATGAAAAGTAGTAGGAACAGTGATGTTTATATGTTACAAGGAGAGAAGAACAATGATAAGGCTATGTGGGCCCAAAGTTTACACAAATGTAAGGGTGGCTTATATCTTTCATTGGATCACTGAAAAATCATACCAATTGCAGGATTTCATGAATAAAATTCTACTTTTTCAGGTTTAGCACAACCCCTTCATGGATAGTACAGAAAAATAGTAGACAAGAGTCCAAACACTGATGGTACATGTCTGAGAGGTGATCACAGTCTTCTTGAGGCTGAGGTCTCAGGCATCCTTGTAGCATGGTTTGGAATCTTTTACATCCTGCTCTTAAGAACAAAAGACTGCCAACTACTCTGTTCCTCCCCCTCCCACAATTCACTTAGAGAAGAGAGGCACAAACTGACTATCAGCAAATGCTACTACACTTGCATGTCCCTCCCACAACTCACTTAGAGAAGAGAGGCACAAACTATCAGCAAATGCTACTACACTTGCATGTACTGTTGTAGAGTGGAACAATTTGCCAACTAATTCATGGTGTAAGACCCAAAGGAGTGCATCTGAGTGGAACAGGAGAGGGACAGATGATCTGGACCATATAATCAGGCAGAGATTGCTTTTTGTTCTCATAGTTTCCCAGTGCTGGAGATAGTTCATTTTAGGTCTGGGCCATGACCTATCTTTTTACCAAACAGTAAATACAGCAAATACAGGCAACAGTGTTTAGAGTTGGATATGCCATTCTTTCATTTCCTGTAGCCATGGTCCTTTGTGTATTTCAGTGTGGATCCTATGAACTATCGTCACCTTTCAAACTTGTATATTCTTTAGAAAAGATTGGACATGGTTCTCCTTTGCAAACCACTATATAAAATGAAACACTTCATTAAAAACATTGCGAGTAATCTGTTTGTTTCTTGAGCATATTTTTGTTTGCATAGTGGGACTTGCCCTTTCCCTCCTCCTCTAAATCTGCTTTGGATAGTCTCCCATCCTCTTTGAAGTAGAAGGCATGCACAGAGGTTGAAGGCGGAGAGGGGGAAATTCCCCTTTTCCATTTGCTGATGAAAGTTGTTCCTTTGTCAGGAGGTACTAACTGGATACAATGCACTCAATTGTCAGAAGCAGGGTTTTCATTGTTTATATCTGCATATTGTATATATATCTTAATTTTATGTTTTTTTCTCTTCAGTCTAAACCACTCATTCCCCTTCAAAAAGAAGTTGACCCAGAAACACAGAAAACAGTGCTTACTAATTACATGTTCCCACAGCAACCAAGATCTGAAGATGGTATGAGTTGTATTTAATTTTCCTATTTCAAAAATTCTACATGATAAATGCTATGTGATGGTAAAAAGGGAACATCTATTTAAACTGGATTGGTATGCTTAATGTGGTGATGTGCATAAAAACAAAAACAAAAAACAAAGCAAAAGAAAAACCACACCATTTAAAATTATGAATAGTTTATCTTTAAGTCTTTAAAAGAGGTATTGGTAATACTTAAATTCAAGAGTTATGATCTGTATTAGCCATTGCAGAATACTTAGACAAACTGTGTATTTTAAAAAGATATTTTTTGGGTTTTGGCAGTTTGCAAAGTTCTGATTTGGGTGTGCTTCCAATATTTCTTCAGTAGTGCCATAGGTCTCTTCGTCCTCCCTGCAGCTAGGGTCACACACTGAATAATCACCAAGATTGCATCATATTATCCAGATTAAAATAAGCAGCACTTCTTTGTCGGGCTTGTCCAGTACTCCCATAGAAATACAAAATGCAGCTCTTCATGCACACACAGAAATCTCCATACAAGATGATAAAAAACCTCCTGTCAACCTCTGAAATGCTCCTCAGAACCACAGGAAGATTCTGTGGAGATGTTGCCAAATCATTGTCCTCAGTATTGATGGCCATAACTGTTAGAAAAAGATCAGCTGGTGCAGTGTTTCCAATAACAAAACAGTAATCAAGGCCACGAGTGCTGTCATAAGTGCAATGCCTGATCCATTTATACAGTGGTGCCTCGCTAGACAGTTACCCCGCATGACAGTTTTTTCGCTAGACATTGACTTTTTGCAGTCGCTATAGTGATTCGCAAAACATTGATTCCTATGGGGAAATTTCGCTGGACAATGTTTGGTCCCTGCTTCGCAAACCGATTTTCACTAGACGACGATTTGCTTTTCGCTAGACAATGATTTCACTAAACAGCGATTTCAGTGGAACAGATTATCATTGTCTAGCGAGGCACCACTGTACTCACAAATAATTTCTAATGAAATCAATGCTTGAAATTTGACTTTCTGAGCAGGGACAAACTGTTTTCTTAATTTGGCAGTCTTAAACACTTTGCACTTCAGTTTCAGCAGATTCATGCAGTCTGGCTTCCCCAAACCTGCTAGTTAGGTTGCAGTTCTTCTTTGTGAATGGTTGCCCATTTGTAAATTACAGTGATCAAAATTGAACCTCTTAGATTTAAAGTGATTCTGTTTAAATTGGCAGGGTCTGTCCTGGGCAACAAATGTATAAGTAAGCAACCTCACTTACTCAGGTCCCTTTTTTCCTTTTTGTAGTTATGTTTGTATCTGATAATGAAAGTTTCAATCCTTCACTGTGGGAGGAGCAGAGGAAACAGCGTGCCCAGGTAGCGTTTGAATGTGATGAAGATAAAGATGAAAGAGAGGCGCCACCAAGGGTATGTAATTGTTTTATTTAGTATTAGTTTACTAAATAAGTAGGGTTTTTTAAATCTTGTGTATTTGTTGCGCTATCTGCTTTAGATACAATTTTTTTTTTTGCTTTGTGGCTAACCTCATAGTTTGTCTACAACTGATGGTTGTTGTTTGTTGGTTAATACACCCTTAAGGCCCTTGTGAAACTCTTTAGGGTCTTATTTTTTGGATAGAAAACCTCTAGATGGTATTTGGCCTAGAGCTCTTGGTTTATTCTGATGATAATTGAAAATGAGGTTTTGAAGGCCCATTTGCACAACTATCTGCTGAAATTAAGGAAGTCTATGTGTAGTCACTACCTGGCTGAGAACACCATATGGCCTTCATGTCTCTCATAGAGAAAAAAAAAGGATTAAAATACCATAAGTGCAAACAAATCAAGTGATATAGTTAAGGGGATTTGTAATAAGTACAGATTTACATGTTTAGCTAATTTTGGTCTAATCTATACCCAGGGAATAAACCATGCATTTCCTGGAGAAGGAGTTGGATACAAATGTAACAAGTACAGTACTGTGGTTGTCTTTTGGTTTAATTATTAAGGACACTGTAATGAGTGTAGTGGCATGCTTGTTTGTTTGCAGCACCAATTAATTTTTTTCTATTGTGACTTCTGAAAACATTTTTTTTAAATTTAGGAAGGCAATTTGAAGAGATATCCAACACCATACCCTGATGAGCTAAAGAATATGGTCAAAACCGTTCAAACAATAGTACATAGATTGAAAGATGAAGAAAACCCAGAAGATGCTAGTAAAGAAACAAAGCAGGAAAACCAGCAGGTTTCAGTGAAGGATGCAGGTGTAAAGGTTAGATTCAATATTCTCTTTGAATCTGAACATTTTGTTGTCATGTGCTACTGTGATCATTGTTGTGAAATACTAAAACTTCAACCATCCGCGCTTGTATACATGCCCTTTAATTATTTTGAATATATTTTACTCTGTGAATTGTATTCTCAGCATTTCACAAAGCATTCCTCTAGCATAGACCCACAGGAAATTTTATATTAGATTGAAAGTAAGTGATGCATGTATGTTTGCCATTGCTAAGAAAGTAGCTTCAGTAATCTGGCAAACTATTCTGATTCTGCCAAAAGGGCATGCCCCCTTTCATTATCCTTGTTTTGTGATTAACTTTGCAGAGAAGAATCAGATGAGTCTTGGACTTGAATAGATTCTGGCCCATTTTTTTTCTTTTGATTTATATCTGACTATTGAAAAATAAAAATGATCAAATAGCCCTTCTTTTGTAAACCATGTTCACTCGCTGTTGTTTACCAGTTAAATTACTGCTTTTAAAATTTTAAATTACCACAATGGTTGTTTAAAGTAGTTTAAACAACTACAAATAGTGGTGAAAGCCCTTCCACTGTGATACTAAAATCTTGCTGTAATCATCTTGAAGTAAACCAGCCCTGCTGCATTTGGGGTCTTCTCATTCTCCTGAGACATCAGGCTCAGACGTCTTCCCAGAAGTCTTACACCAGCAGCATCATTGTACAATGAGTTAAAGTAGGGACAATACTACTTGTATTAAAAGGCAGTTCTTCAGAAGGTGTCCTCTATAGAGCCTAATACGCAGTGAGACCATGGCAACTCCCCCCCCCTTTTTTTTACATTAACAGCAGGAAGCAAAGGATGATGAAGGCAGGTATTTCTCCAGGTGAGCAGTGGATAAGTGTCCATAGATAGTTGTTTTTGGGTGAAAACTCCTGGAATTCTGCCTGGGAAATTTGAGGAGAATTCAGGGAATTTGAGTTTTAAAAAATTGAAAGAGTACACCCCTAAGATCTGTGTTTACTCTCATACGGGGTGCTTTGGTGGTCATTGCCACCTGCACCATCTGTGTAATATCTTTAACAAATATGCAAAGCTTTTCTTTTTGTGAATTTTTTTTGGTGATGTGAACATTTTTCAATCTGCTGTAGACTTCAGAAATTACTCCACCGAACAGCAAAATGGAAAATGAGCAGATGATGATTGGAAACTGTGTTGAGAAGTCTAATGAACCAGATGTTGAGAACAGTAATGGTAACTCACAAATGAATATTCAAGTAAAAGCTTTGGAGAACACACAGCCAGTTGCTAATCATGAAGATACTCTTGAGGTATTTTATTTACTTGTGTGCCACAATCCCTGCCACCTAACTAGAATCTGAAGTTCAACAAAACAAGATGAAAATTATTATAGAATAAAATAATATCTTTTTTAAAAATCTGAATCAATAATTACACTCATAGATACATTTAAAATGCAGTCCTGTGCACAGTTCCTAGGGACTAAGGGCCCATTGAATTCACTTCTGCATAGAGTTGCATAGGATTGTGCTATTAAAATCCAGGTACATTTATCAAAACAGCAAAATTTATTTGTGAGTATGTCTAATTGAACCAACTTTGTGTGACTGAAGTGTTAGTCTGGTCTGTAGAAGAACACGAGTAGCTTTGGGGGATGAACTGCAAGAGAATGCAAAACTGTTTGGAAGATAGGTAGCATTGTCTTTAGTGTAGTATCTGTTTCCAATTTCACCACAGACACTAACAAAAATGTTGAGTCTTAAACAAAACTGCCTTAAAAGTAAAATCATAATCATTAGGAGCATTAATTCCTAAATTAAGGAAACCAGTAGTTTAGTACATATTATCTGTTCCTGTACTGAGAAATAAAACAGAGCTTGTTCTGTTTTACTAGTAAGAAGAATGTGATTTTGAAATACAGAATAAGAGCAAATAGAATTATTTTTACAGGAAAGGAATATTTCCTTTAGTTTGACTTGGTGGTGTTATCTGTAACCTGTGAAATGTTTGATTAAAAATACAGTAGAGTATTTGCTACAGTTGTTTTGCACAGATGGTAGTGGTGTATTCCTGTAGTTGCTATGAGAGATGCATAATTTCCTGAAGCCATGTTGTGGAGGGATGGTCTTTTTTCTTTTAAACAGGGACACAAAATTTGGCAGGAAAGAAAATATATGTAATGTTATCTTACCAAATCTTCCTTCCTTTATTCATATCAGGATGTTGCGCAATTTAGAATTATGAACATAAAAAAATATAGATAACATTAAAAACAAACTAGAAATGTTTGTATTTGTAGCCCTAAAATAACCTTTGGGTCATTTTCAGGTTCCCTCAAAGGTATGCTCATGAAACTCTGCCCCCTCTCCATTCAGGACTCCTCGTCCTCCACACATCCACAGTGATCATTTTCAGCTCCTTTGATTCAAGTCATGATGGAATCTCATGCAGGGGGCAGAGTTGCACATGCTAGGGGCAGAGCTGAAAACTGGAGGGCATGTTGGTCATTTTGCTCATCAACAAGTATACATTCCAATGGAAATCAAGGATTGGCCGCCTGCATGCTGTAGCCCAGGAGACACCCGAGTGTACTTACAATTCTTTTCCACTCTTCGGGGAGGCTTCATCTATGTCCCCTTTACAAACCTAAATTTCCTTTCATTCATTATGAATGTCCTTAATAATTCTGAGAGGCAAAATAATACCAAATCCATTTCCTCCCTAAATATCCAATTGTTTTGTTTTGAAGCCTTTGAAAACTCCTGTTTTTCCACCTCTCCCACACCCACTCCTGGTCTTCCGTATCTCAAGCAGTATCTTACAGAAGACAATATATTCTTTCTATAAACATTGTTCATTTGTGCTTTTTTTACTGTTTGTTGAAGACTGAATCCAGGGGTTTATTTTATTTGTTTGTTTGTTTGTTTGTTTGTTTATTTATTTATTTATTTATGTAGCTTTCAGTCTGTCCTTGTTTAATAAAATGTTCTTTTCAAGAGACACCTGAATGCAGTAACAACAGCAGAGAAGTCACTATGTACACAAACAATGCAAGCAAATGTGATTGGAAATATGTAAGGGCTTATTTGGTACTTACTTTGGCAGTTCTCTGATAATATTCTCTCTGTGTTTCCTTCCTTTGACAGGAGTCAGAAGAACTATCTTCAGATGAAGAAATGAAAATTGCAGAAATGAGGCCACCTCTCATAGAAACCTCAATTAATCAACCAAAAGTAGTAGCACTTAGCAGTAGTAAAAAAGGTAGCAAACCTTTCATTAGTAAGTTTTCCAAAGAGAACCCATTCCTATTTGAGACTTACTTATAACAGATCATTAGACCTTTCATAACTTACTCTTAGATATAGTTAAACTCTTCTTCTTGAAAGCATATAGCTGCAACACATTAAAATTAGTCTATAGCAGTGCTAAAGGGGCAAAGTACACATTTTAAGTCATATGAGCATAAAATGTTTTGTTGCTTGGAGTACAGTTCCATAAGCAACCCAAGATAACACCACACTATAATGGTGTTAAAGTTTTTTCTGACTGAAAAAACTGAATGTGGTGAATATTGCCATACTTAAGTAATAGGTATAAAATGTGTTCTTTTAAAATCTGTTTTCTTCTTTGTGAAAAGATAATCCTTGGAGGATTTGGAAGAAAGCAATTTATGTAGTAGTTACCTTGCAGTATTTTGTATTCAATGATCTATGGTATCTCTGGTGCAGATATTCTGCTACATAATACAGATGGACTTATACAGTATGTGTTGGTATTCCCTGACACTGTTATTTAATATCAGCTTAAATGAACAAAGGCTGTGTTGTCAATTTTATTGTACTGGATTTTATGTTATATTTTATGTTAAAAAGCAGTCTAAATAATTTCAGTAAACAAATGGACCAGAATCTACTACCTTGTGCATAATGGAATTTGCACAAGTGGTTTTCACAATTTTCTGGCATTCTGTTACGCACCCACATTCACACCTAAAACAATCAGAATGATCACACTGGTTACACAATATCGGGGCTATGCTGTGCAAATGCAGTAGCATTCTGGCTATGGAGTTTGTAAAAGATTGCTTTGTCTTCCAAAACGCATGTAGCAGAACATTTAAAGTAGAACTACACAAACTGTAAAATTGATACACAGTACTTGATCTGTTATAAAGCTTGAATTGTATGAATACATGCAGAATAATTATTGGCTATCTTGGGTTGGTGGAACGTGTTGAGGAAGCATAACAGCATTTCAGCAGACAGCAAATACTTTTACTTTTAGCCAGTTCAGATTTTAAAATGAAACTATTTTGAAGTCTTGCATTCCAGTCAGATGTACTTGGTAGATATATTTGGCACGCTTTGAAGCTTTTCTTATCCTAAAAACTAGAAAAAGAGAGAGATTCTGAACGAAAGTTTTCTATTTTTAGATGACAGTAAAGATGTAGATTCCCTGTCAGATGACCCCACCCACAACAGCAATCAGAATAACAGCAATTGTTCCTCTCCTTCACGAATGTCCGATTCGGTTTCTTTAAATACTGACAGTAGCCGTGAAGCATCACTTTGTTCTCCAGAAAAAGAAACTAACATGGATATCACTTCCAAAATCAGGTTTGAGAAATAGTATAAATCAGCAGATCATTTGGAATATTAAATATTTATTTTGATTCTGTACTGATTTCTTGAAAAAGATTTTAAAATGTTCATACTAATTTTAAAAGTTAAAATTAATTTTCTCATTTCCTTTACAAATCATAGTCCCATTTCATATTTCAAAGGCCATTTGTTTGGTCTTAGTGTCCTTGTGATGTGATTGTATTTCTTGTACTGAAAAGGGATTTGTATACAACAGGGTCCATTCATGTTCAAACTGTGATGTAAGAAAGCAGAGAGAAAGATCCTCCTACTTGCCCCATTGTGAGGCAGTTTATCTGGGAGGTGATAGGATCTGGAAGCAGTTGGCACTGCCTTCCCACAGTCCCTGTAGCACCTGTCACCATCATGACTAAAAGAAAAGTTACCGTATTTTTTGCACCATAAGACTCACTTTTGTCCCACAAAACGGGGGTGGAAAGTCTGTGCGTCTTATGGAGCGAAGAAAACAGATTATATTTTCCTGTTTTCTTCTCCTAAAAAATTGGTACATCTTGTGGAAAGGTGCGTCTTATGGAGTGAAAAATACGGTAACTATTTGCTTTTTTCACTGCTTGACCTTTGCCTGATATAGGTAAGTGAGGGGCTGGTTGTCAGATGGTGCTGGAATAGTTCAAGCTCTTAAACTACTAGGAAGATAGCAGTGAAATGAAATTTTGTATAGCATTTGGATGTAAAGACTTTTTATATTGTCTTCTTGATTTTATGTTTGTTTCCATAAACACTTTACATGAATAATCATGTGGTGTAGAACAGATAAGGTTATTCATGTGACTAGTCACTTTATTTCTTTTGTTATTAAGAGCAATGCTTGACATAGAAGACCATTCCCATGATAATAATGACTTTATTGAAGTTCACTATTAACATATTTTAATGGATCTTGTTAAGAAGACAGATATTATATATGCAGATTATTTATTGATTTGATTTGCTTTTCATCCATCCATGGCCCTATTGAACTCAATGGGATTTAAGTTAGTCATTCAGTGGGTCTAATCTAAGTATCCAGTTCCTAATATCCATTTATATAGATTGTGCACAATGTAATTGATAAGCCATTTTAGTCATCATCATCTTATTACATTCTTCAGTTTGTTAAGCAAATATTTTTTTTTATTTCAGGCAAGAAGATGAAAATTCTAATCCTTTACAAAATGGAAGTGAAGTAGATGTCATGACTGAGGAAAAACGGGAAGCCCAAGATACAGTTATAAAATTCACTGATTTCAGATTAAACATTGAAGAGAGGTTAGCTTTGATAGAGAGAAGTGTTGAGTTAAGCAGCGTTACTGATGAGTCTCAAAAATTGCACCAAATTAACAAGAATATCTGCAAATTGCCTGAGGAGGAAGGAACAAATATAGTAGAACGAATAAAAACACAAGAAATATCAGTGAAAGGTATTTTAAACAATAGCATGAAAGAAGAGATAGAGCACTTAGAGAATGGAAATAAATATTCTAATCTGTGCCCTATGAATAATGTTAACGGACATTCTGAGGAAGTGCCTCATTGTGGAGGAAAATCAGAACTAAAGAGAAGTGCTACTATTGATACTGATTCTTCTTCAGAAATGTGCATTTCAAAGAGTACTGAAGACTTGTCCCCGCAGAGGAGTGGGCCAGTTGTGAAATCTCATAGCATAACTAACATGGAGACAGGGGATCTAAAAATCTATGATATTATCAATGACAATGGATCCCAGCAGCCAAATCCAGTGGCAAAATCAGCAGCTATCGCAGAAGGAAAAAATATAGTCCGAAGCAAGTCAGCTACTCTTCTCTATGACCAGGCATTACAAGTGTTCCCTGGGTGTTCATCATCATCTGATTTAGCAAAAACGGTGTACAAATTTGATTCAAATCATAATTCTGAAGGTACTAATGTAATAAGAGGACAAGGTACAAGCAGTTCACAAACATTCAGTACCCCCCAGTATAATATTCAGTATAGTACTAGCATGGCAGCCAAAGAGTCATTGTGGCCCCAGAAACAAAACTCCCTAGTTGAACAAAGCTGCTTGCCTCCTCAACGCCTGCCAAGGTCAGATACCACAGAGAGCTGCAATTCTGTGAAACATTCTGCCAACATGAATTTTTCTAATCATAACAACGTGAGAGCTAATGCTGCATATAATATGCACCAAAGGATGGGTGGAAGGCATATGGAAATGTGGGCTGTTCCACCAAATGACAGACTTATCTCTGGAGCAACCCGAAACACTCTTCAGAGGCAGAGCAGTGTCTCTTCCACTGCTTCTATGAATATGGGTGATTCTGCACTTCAACGGCGTCCTCAAGTTCCTGAAGGGGATTACTTAACATACAGAGATTTGCACTCAGTGGCAAGAGGCCCACCACCAATAATGGCAGGGCCACAAAGACCTCTTTCTGCAAGAACCTATAGTGTTGATGGACCAAATGTGCCTCGACCTCAGAGTGCTCGCCCTTCAGCAAATGAAATACCAGAGAGAACTATGTCAGTTAGTGACTTCAATTACTCAAGGACTAGTCCTTCTAAACGAACAAGTCCACGAGTTAACTCTGAACATTCTCTGCTAGATCCTCCTGGGAAAAGTAAAGTTCCTCCTGACTGGAGAGAGCAGGTGCTGCGACACATTGAAGCCAAAAAGTTAGAAAAGGTAAACAGCTTTACTATTCTCTTTCAGTGTACTTTCTTCTTCCTGTTTCAACCTATAAAAGCCAACCATTTAAGTAAGAGATGCACATTTTATAATTTTGATGGTACGCTTTAAAATATTGGTAATCTGTTTTCAAATATAAACCCATCTTCAAGATATAAGAGAAGTTAATTTATAGCATGGGTCTAGTTATACAGAATAATAGAAGAGTTAGTTCCAAGGATATGGGAAGATTATTTGCTATTAAGTTATTGAATGTGAATCTTCAGTGCTTTGGTATTCTTGAAGCTTGAATATTAAAACTGGAGTAATGTATTGACACAGTCATATGGGTAGTGTTTTGCCATAATTGGTGTCCACATTACTTTAGTAACTTTTGAACAATAGATTAATTGGCATTCATAATGCCCTCTAAGGAGAGAGTGAGCAGTTCGTGTATCAGTGCCATATGTTGCTGAGACTGATAGCATTGATGTGGGAGCTTTTAGTGATCCTGCTGTTCTAATGTTAACTGGGGAAGAATATATATATCAGTTCTTACTTGACACTCTAGAATCAAGTGAAGCAACTATTTTGGAGCAATATAACTTCCTATGAAATTATTTCATTTGTCCCCTACCTTTTTCCCAAGAACAAAATTGAGCCTTGTTTGACATGAGATGGAAAGGAAGTTGTTTGCATTATAGATGCATTAACCAAAGTATGTTATACATAGATCTCACAGTGTTTGCCCCCAAATTCTACTTCATGCTGCCTTCTGTATTGAGAGGGTTTTAGTGGGCCCCAACAACCTACAGTATACTGTATAATTCTAGTTTTTACACAAGCAGTGGGATAGGAGGGGAGGTACAGTATTTGAATGGTTTTTTCATTGTAGATTTCAGAAAATGTTCATATTAGTGAACATGCTTAAATATTGGCATTCTTTTTTCACTAAATCTGTGGCAAACAAAAATTAAGATGTTTTTCATTATTGTCATTATTATTATTATTTAAAATATTTCTGTCCCACCTTTCTCCCTAAGAAGGACCCAAGATGGCTTACATAATTAAAAGACAATACAGTGGTGCCTCGCTTAACGATGTTAATTGGTTCCCAAAAAAACATCGCTATGGGAAAACATCGCTAAGCGAAACACCATTTCCCATAGGAATGCATTGAAAACCAGATTATCCATTTCAATGGGAACGGATTACTGTCCTTAAGCGAAAATCGCCATAGGAAACATCGCTAAGCGAAACACGGTTCCCCCATTGGAATGCATTGAATAGGTTTCAATGCATTTCAATGGTTTTGACAGGTCCGTTTTCGCTATTTTTAAAGTGTCTTAAAAT